TTGACATCTATGAAAGTAACTCTACACTGATACTTATTATTAACACCCAACACACGCCTACCCAATTTAAACAATTCGCTCTAGCAGTTACCATGGAAATTTTGATTTCAATTATTAAAACACGTAAATTTCAGAAATACGTTATTCCAAAAACAAATTCGCTTGAAGATGCAACAGAGCTTACTTTAACTCAATTTAATTCAAATAATTATATTGAAGTTTTCGGCTCTTGTTTTGAAACATGAGACCTCTTATGTCGCGAATTGGAATCATATTTTTTATATAAACAATTATATATATTTATATATATATATGCAAAAAGTGATTTGTACCCACAGAAATGAAACATAGATTTAATCAACACAGACGTCATACCTTAGGAACCTGTATTTTTTGGCGATTGGGAATGCAATGAAGTAAATGAGGAGGGAAAGGTGGAACGCAATTTAAAAGAGAAATTTTAATTGCACACAATTAAAATTAAACAAGGGGGCGGTGAAAATGACAAGTTCCACAGGAGTATAAAATGGAATAAGAGACACTAACAAACCCTCCAACAAAAAATGTTTCTTTTGTCTACACAGGCTTGGCTGATGACACTTTATAAAAACAGCTTCCAAGACTCAGAGATGGTATATTGGGCGAGCATTATGTAATACTGAAAACCAAGCATCTTCATATTCAGAGCGGCAAGAATGGTTGTCGAGCAGATGCTGACCGATGGCAGATTCATGGACTACCTGAGTAGTTCTTCTTATAGACTGGATAAGACTACCAGAACGCAAATAGGCGGGTACATGCTGCGCAACCCGCGTCTCCAACATTAAATTGGTTCGTCCTATGTACACTGCATCACAACGGCATTTGAACTTATACACAACTAAATTTTTCTGAAAATAGGACAACCTATCCTTAGTAAAGGACGGAAACACAGGTCTTGTTTGAAAAACAGTGCACAACTTAACCGCATTATAACAAGACGAAATAGATGGCGAAATTCTGTCAGACAATAACTGACATTTCCTACCAAACAAAGATAATTTTAAATAGAGCAACGGCTAGGTCCAAAAACCACAGGTTCCTTAAACCGCCTGATTTTGCTATCAATAACACGCCTAATAACATTGTTGGGATATCCATTACTTTTGAAAATATTCCGAATAATAGTAAGTTTACCATCTAACAGTTCGGGGGAACAAATCATGAGAGCCTGATGAACCAAGGTCGCAATCAGACCAATCTAACCTGACATGGGAACAAACGAATTCCAGCTCGTGTATAGTCCGGTGAATGTGGGCTTACGAAAAACACTGGCAACGAAAACCTCGTCCTTGCGTTCAACAAGGACATCCAAAAAGGGAAGTGCCCTATCCTTCTAAACCTCCATTGTAAACTTAAGGGATGGATGGAGAGAGTTAAGATGAGCCAAGAAATTTGTAGCATCTATGGCAGAATCAAAGATAGAAAAGGTGTCGTCCACATATCTCATATAGACACAAGGTTTTTGGACATTGCACAAGTAAGATTCGCTCGTAATAACCCAGGAAAATATTGACTAAAATCGGACCCAATGGGCTACCCATAGCAATCCCACTACAGATAACAGGAATCACTTCTTCCAGCTGTACCTGAGCGACACGTCTGATTGCAACAGACGTCACTTTGTCTCTGCATGTAGTGAGTGTAAGAGGGTTTTCAAAGAAGTAAAGATACTGTTTGCTGATAGAATGAAAGAATGTATAGCATCTGACAAGTTTGGTTCTAGAGATTATTGCTGTCTCTGCAAGAGTGTGCTGAACAAGAGCATATCCTCAATCCTTTCCCTATTTGTTGTGGTAAACCCTCTTACAGTAGAATGAACTCTTCCTCCTCTCATAAATACAAACTGCGAGAGTTGGATATTAGAGTGTGAAGTGGAGTGGAGTGGTAGACGCAGTGCTAATCGACTTATTACTAACACTATTGTTTTTTATATATCTTCAATATACTTTTTCAACCGACCTTCGTCTTCCGTGTCTTGCTTTCTGGCCCCTAAACAGACCACAACAAAAGCACAGATAAATATATATTTTAAACACAATAATGTTTTTATTTTCATCGACCCGGAATACACCAGGATTGAGTTGGATAAACAATTCACTGTCTACAGGTGGTATATTGATACTACACTTTTTTTTGTGAAGAGTCCATGATTCGTTAGGGGGGGAGTTGTCTCACCTAATACCTTCCATTTTTGTTCGTATAAATTGCGATGTCACCATATTTTGAGTTTTTGTTTATCTTCTTCATCGCCAAAAATTTGTTGTAAACAAAAATATTAGGAACAACAAAATATAACAAAACACAGTTAAATATATTTTTAAACACAACAATATTCGTTTTTTATTCTCACCGACCATAAATACAGAAGAATTAGGTTGGATAACAGGTGGTGTAATGTCCAGCAGTCATGTTTTTGTCTGTTACTATACCTTTTTTCGTGAAAAGTCCATGATTCCTAAGTGAGAGTTGTCTCCCCTAACAATAATATATATATATATATATATATATATATATATATATATATATATTATCCAAGTATAGGATAAGTGTATATGGAATAAATTTCAATAACCAAAAAAATACTATTCTTAAAACTGTGTATAGCAAATATAATTATTTATTCGAAAATTATGACATAAATATGTCATGAAATCACTACAAAAATAACCATTTTCTTTCAACACTTCTGGTGCCTTATCAATCATGTTGTTGAAAGTAGAAAAAAGTGTTCATTTATTCTACTTTCAGCACTATCACTTGATAAGACACCAGAAATGTTGAAACAAAATGGCTATTTTATAGTGATTTTATAACATATTTATGTTATAATTCAAATAATTAATTATATATATATATATATATACACATATATTTGCTTGGCTATTTGTTATTGTCTAGATACGTATATATATGACCGATAATATTTAAATACATATGACAAACATTACCCACGCTAAAATTTTTAGAAATTAGTAAGATCCAGTACGATGTTTTGATTGGGTGTGTCTAAATAAATACAGAAAATTTTTCAAATAAGTTAACAAAGTTCTGGATCACAAAGTGTGTACAGGTTAGTTATATATATATATATATATATATATATATATATATATATATATATATTTGTTGAAATTTCAGTTTTATCCATATATATATATATTTTATATATATATATATATATATATAAAGTGTAATTCTATGTTTTTTATATATAAATTTTATATAAATATATATATATAAGAAAACATTCTGGATGACTTTTTATATATATATATATATATATATATATATATTAGTGACTTCTATATTCATTTATATATATATATATATATATATATATATATATATATATATATAATATATAAGTGGACATTGAAGTAAACACTCAGAGGAGACAGTCTGTTTCATGCTAAACGAAATTGTCAGGCCATGTGTGTTGTATTTTTGCTCGACTATTCATATATATACTGGTCAGTGATTCTATTGCATTTTGGCTAGTCTGTTGTATTATTCTAACAGTTATTTTGTTGGAAGGTAAAAGCTTATGTTTGAATTATTCTAGGGACTATAGAGTGGGGATAATTGTGGAGCATGATGCAGTTTTTAATCTGTCTATACTGTCTATATATGGGCACGTGGCCGAGTGATTAGAACGTTCCTATTCTGATCATAAAACCCGGGTTCGAATCACACCATGGTCGATTTGTCAGGGAGGAAACTTCCTGATGTGATCCCAGCATGCAGGAAAATCATAGCTAGCCTTGTTCAAATTGTTGATCACGCAAAATAACATGCTCTTTCCCAGCAACAGTAACTAAAACCTGCTCAGCATAGCTACAATATAAACCACAGTTGAGCTCCTTTGGAGACGAAAAATACAAATGAGCCAGAACAAGCGTCTGCAATAGGGATTAGCAAGCTGCCCTAGTAGATGTGTATCCTCAAATACGAGTGACTAGCTACGCATATATATTGTTATTACGTTCCGTTCCGACAAGTAAATTCTTCAGTTAAATAATAGTTTTATTATGGAACCATTAGGTAAACTTGACACACTTGGAAAGGATCTTAGAATAATATCCTTTGCAAGATACCCTGTGAATACGGAGAGAAAATGTATTCAATAACTATACAAAAATAAAATGGTGTATAAGCGAAGGAAGCGTCCTACCACTAGACCATTTCATCCTATACAGTGAGTCCATTGTGACAAAATTAGAAATCTTTCCAGGGTTCAATATTTCCGCCGCAAATTTAACGACATAAAATGTGATGATGAAATAGGGTTGATTGCAGACACAGACGGGAAACTACAATCACTCGTACAGAAGGAAAGCAAGAAGAAAGGAGTAAATATCAATTTCAAGAAGATGGAGCGTCTGTCAACAGAACGGACAGCCCAACATGCAAATTATAAATTGCAGACACTGAAATCGGGCTAGTACAATATTATAAAAGCCTGGGAACGGTTTTAAGAAGTGGTTGGAGCGTGCGTCACCGATTTCCGAAGGCGAATGGGGATAGCGAAATATGCCTTTCAAAAGCTAAGTAATGTATTTAAAAAATTATAATTAAAATGTATTAAAAACGAAAGAATTTAGTCAGATACAAAGAAAAGACTGCTGAATTATTACGTAATGTCCGCTTCACCTATGTGGTATAAATGCTGGACAATCACTTCATATATGAAGAGACCTAAGGCAACAGAAACGTGGTTCTACAGAAGGATGCTGAGAATACAATTGTGAGCAATGACGAAAATTCAGACAAAATGGAAACACAATGAACGCTTATATTTAACATAAGAAATAAATCGTTGAAATAGGGCACGCCATTAAGAAAGATGGCTTGGTGTATTTGACACTCACAGGTCATTCATGCTCTGAGAGACAAAATAAACAGCAGGGAAGGTACTTCAAAGACTGTGTAGATCGGTAGCTGATCGGAGGTGTCTATCTATGTCTGTTTCAATATCTATCTATCTGTCTATCTATCTATCTATCTTTGTAAGTCTATTTTAATGTCAATCTCAAACTGTAAGTATATATCCTAGTCTCTTCATATCTATCTATCTATCTATCTATCTATCTATCTAAGTCTATTTTAATATCAATTGATCTCAAACTGTACTTATATATGTTGGTCTCTTCATTTTTTCCTTTACTTCTTTTTCTATCTATCTATCTATCTATCTATCTATCTATCTATCTATCTATCTCTGTTTAAATATCTATCTCTGTTTCAATATCTATCTATCAATCTATCTGTCTGTCTATCCAAGTCTATTTTAATATCAATTGATCTCAAACTGTACACATATATCCTAGTCACTGCATATCTATCTATCTATCTATCTATCTATCTATCTATCTATCTATCTATCTCAGTCCGTTCATATTCTATCTATATATATATCAGTCTGTTCATTATTTATCAATGTCAGTCTTTTCACTCCCTATCTCTCTCTCTCTCTCTCTCACTATCCCTCTCTCTCTCTCTCTATATATATATATATATATATGAGATTTAATTTTTTTATTGCCTGTCTATCTATCTATCTATCTATCTATCTATCTCAGTATGTTTATATTCATCGCGATTTCTTCACTATCTATCTATCTATCTATCTATCTATCTATCTATCTATCTATCTATCTCCATCGCGATATCCATTATCTATTTCTTCATTATCTATCTATCTATCTATCTATCTATCTATCTGTCGCGATTTGCTTATTATCTATCTATCTATCTATCTATCTATCTATCTATCTATCTATCTATCACAGCTTCTCTCTATGTGTATATTTGTTAATTGTTCCCTGTTCTTTATTAATGATGTAAAACCATAAAACTTTCTTTTTCGCCGTTTTCATCCCGTTTCGCTCTCTTAATTTATTTTCATTTTTTTTTTATTTCCTTTTAATCTGAACTTTTGTTCTTTGATGCAAAACGATTTTTTTCCATTTTCTTTTGCCTCCATTTTTAGATGAAATAAATCATCTAAAATCCATTTGGATTGTTTTTTCTTAATATCACGTGCAATTGTTTTGAAACAATTCCCCAATTGTTTTGCACTCGCACGTTAAGGGCCTTCTTTCGTTACCAGTGTTAAAGCGATGCTGCTTATCGACAGGTGTGTCTTTCCTTCCGATTTTCCCTTCAGAGCTCCCATGCAGTCAACCTCATCACGAACTCCGTCCACCACTGCTCAATCCTCCAAACCACTGACATATGCAATAATAGCCAATGATTGTCTTTCAATATCGCTTGTTGCAATGCTGGATTTTAAAGAGGCGGCGTCTTAAATCTAACATGTACTGCACTTGGGAAATGGTTTTAGATTGTATGAAGAATACAAGAGCAATTAGGACGTGTTTCTTAGCAGCAGAAGACGTTAGTCCGTCACGTCTATCCATCTAAACAGTGGCAAGTCATTTAGAAGGGAAATAATTTTCATCTTATCTATCTCTATCTATCTATCTCATCTCTGTTTATCTAACTATCTATCTATCTCATTCTCTTTTTATATCTATCTATCTATCTATCTCATTCTGTTCATCTCTATCTATCTATCTCAGTCTTTTTTATATCTATCTATCTATCTATCTATCAAAATCTCAGTCTGTTCATTTTAGAAGGAGTCGACAATATTTTCTATTAAACAATCTATCTATCTATCTATCTATCTATCTATCTATCTATCTATCTATCTCAGTCCGTTCATATTCTATCTATCTCAGTCTTTTTATATCTATCTATCTATCTATCTATCTCTATCTATCTATCTATTTATCTCAGTCTGTTCATTATCCATCTATCGAACAACAGTATCTATCTATCTATCTATCTATCTATCTATCTATCTTTCTATCTATCTATCTGTTTCAAATCAATCCGTCTATCAAAGAATAGTGGCAAGTCATTTAGAAGGAGTTGACAAATATTTTTTTACCTTAATAAATAAAAACAAAGAAAATGTTGCATCTATCTATCTATCTATAAACTGAATGCTGAAACATTTCGATAGGGACGTCTGATTTCATAAATATATATATATATATATATATATATATATATATATATATATAGATGGTTGGATGCCATATTTACGAATCTCAAAGCCCACATTAGGCTTTATAAATGGTGAAAAGTTTTTAGTCGATTTTGTTGATTTCCACTGTGATGCCGAAATCCAGCTCTTTAAACATCTAATGTATTTTTTCCTGATGGAATAGTTTCTAGTACCACTATCAGTTCATTCCGTTGTCTTCAAATTTCACTATATTATTTATTTTGTCCAAAATGTCGATTCCCATCAGTTCAGACATTTCTGCCCCAGTCCTATGATTCTTGGGAAACAAACAGACACCAACCAAAAACATTTCTTAATTAATGATTCAAAATGTCACCATGAAATAATACCAATTTATATCACACACACACAAACATACAAAATCCTTTATATATAAATATAAATTTCCAAAATATTTTTTCTATTATTTTTACAAAACATGGATATAAATGAATATATATATATATATATATATATATATATAAACAAGTGTAAAATGGATATAAATCCGACAAATTAAATTAATGAAATATTTCAAATGAAGACAAATTTTTTTAAACAAAGACAGAAAATTACGTGTCGTAAAATTATGTTAAAACAAAAGCATAATAAATTTTCAAATAAATTATTACATTATATTTTTATTCCGTTCTGTTTTTCATACTTTTTCTCGTTGGAACCACAAATAACATATATATTTATATATATATATATATATATATATATATATATATATATATATAATTGGATTGATTGAGTTTGACGCTGGGTTTCACGCTATTTGCGATCGTCAGACAAACTTAGTGATTTTTAAATTTTTTATTTATATGCTTTGCGTATATATCCGTGTTTTTAAGGAAGTGGGAGGAAAAATTGTCACCGGAACGCCACTCAACGGAGCTCACACAAACACAAACATATGTGAACAGTGTGGCACTGGGCATATGTGCACATCCATGTGTCGTACGCATTTTGTGGCTGTCTTCAATGTTGGATTTTGTAGCAGATTTTTTTCTTGTTGCGCTGTCAACGCTCAGACCGTTCGTCTATTTTTGTTTTGCTGAATAATATTTCCTCCTGCATGCACGTATATACGTCTGTTTAAGACATTGATAAATTAAAAAGATTATTTTTTGAATTTTAAGGCTGTTTTGATATTTCTTTTAACCCGGTTATTTGCCTATTTTGGCGATTGCGCATATGTGGTAAATGGCGGGTATTCCAATTTATATTTATGCTTTTATTAGTATTTTTCTGGTGGTATTAAAGTATTTTATATAATATAATAGGGATTAATAAGAATTTTGAATTATGGACTGATACATGATAATAATTTTAATTGTTTCAGAAACTAATGCCGTATGAAATTTTTTTATAATAAACAATAAACAAAATTAATAGTTTGAATAGTTTGATTGTGATGTGGTAGTCAAAAAGAAATTGGGATCTTTACGCTTTGCATGATGATAATAAACAATTTCGAATATTTTATCATTTCTCAATAGAAATTAATGCCCATATTTTTATCCATGAATTTTCATTTTTTTTTTATTTTGATAAATTAAAAAAAAAATAAAAAATGAATATAAAACTCAAATTTTTCAGAATAGTTGGACTGTGCTATCCTACTGGAGAAAATATATAATTGGATTTAAAAATTGAGCTGATTATTAGGATCTTACCAAGATCTTATATATATATATATATATATCCATATATATCTGCACAATTTTTTGATCTATAACTTGGAAGAAAAATTCCAAATATTTTTCGAAAAAAAATTTTTTCCACTTTATACAAATTCTACAATCAACAACGAAATTATTTGTACTAAAATGATGTCAATTTTTTTTTTTTTATTAATTTCTCATATAATCTATTTTTCAAATATTTTGCCAGTTTTTTATATACTAATAAGACAATGGTAAATGGAATATAAAACTCAATTTTTTTCTGAAAAAAATCAATAAGTTAAATACAAATTTAAATTTGAATGATGTATTATAAAAAATAGAAAAATGGAATAAAATTTTTCAGAATAGTATAAAATACTGTTTTTAAAAATTGTAAAAAAAAATTTTTCTACAGAATAAAATATTTTTATTACTATTTTAATTTTTTTTTTCCCAGACCAATGTGGTCCTGGTACATATTATATTAACTCAACTACTACCTGTGAAGACTATTGTCCACGTGGATTCTACCAAAGCCAGAGGGTCAAATTTATTGTGAACAATGCCTACTAATCAAACGACAGAAAATATTGGAACAAACAATGCAAGTCTTTGTTATGGTGAGTTGAATTTAAGTTTTTTTTTTTTTTATAATGATGTTAACCCTGGACTTGAACAGGTTAAGATTTTATTGATTGAATCGTGGAAGTATAAGCAATTTACAAAATTATTTTATTGATGAAGCCTTCTAGATTATTTATTCAGAAGAATATTTATCATAATTCCATCACATGGTGCATAGAAATTATTAATTTCCACAAGTCGGGAAATAGTTATAGCACTATTTCAAACCGGTTAGCTATCCCTAGATCTATGGTACAGTCTGTTATAAAGAAGTTTAAACAATTTGGCACGATAGAGAAATTGCTTGGGCGTGGAAAAAAATCCAAATTGTCAGCGTAAACTGCACAAAAACTGTGTCGCAAGAGTTGTTTTGGAAGACATCGCCAAAAGTTTGGCTACGATGGGTATCAGCGTAATTCCTCGCACAATACAGCGTTGTTTAAATATAAATGAGTCATATGGAAACCAACGACGAACCCCTCTTCACAAACCATGGCTTTTGGGACGAAGTACTATGGTGTATGAAACAAAAATTGAGCTTTTTGGACATAATAATATACAGAAGAGTTGGAGCAAGAAATGTGAGGCTTTCCCCCAAAGAACACAGGGCCAAAAGAAATTAAAAGATGGAGGCAGCTCGATGATGTGGGCAGTTATTTTAGCTCAAAATAACTGGACAATTAATTTCAGTACGAGAAATAATGAAATATGCAGACTGAACGAAAATCTACAGTTATCAGCAAGATAATGATCTCAAACATACGCCTAAATCAGTGACTGCGTGGCTTCAGAAAAAGAAGATTACAATTCTACAATGTCCTGCAATGAGTCAAAACTTGAATCCTTTGAAAATCTATGGCAAATTTTTCAAAATCATCAAAACACTAAATCGACGCTCATCAAAAAAAAATCCTGAAACCTGTTCAAATTTAGAATGGTGTAAAATTGAAGAATGGAAAAAAAAATTTTTCTAAAAGACCTGTTCAAATCTCATCATTAACAAAGTAGAAAAAAGATTACATCCAAAGTTATAAAGAAGAACCGTAATTTTTTTCATAAACGATTGTTTTTTTTTGGACTTAGTATAATCACTTTCCTTATTTTCCTATTTATAATTTTATATATATATATATATATATATATATATATATATATATATATATATTTAATATATATGTGTGTGTGTGTGTGTGTGTGTGTGTGTGTGTGTGTGTGTCTTTGTGTACCATGTGACGCTTCACGTATTACCTAAGTAGGTTTGTCTGGCTTTTTATTTAAAATAAATTTGCTCTGCTTAGTGTATTGAGCACTTTTCTTAGTTATTTTTGCTATACTCGTGTTGTAGTTTGTTTGTTTTTTTTTTCTTTAGACTTTGAGCTTGGATTCTAGTCGATTGTTTTCGCCTCGATTACATGTTCTTAGTTCTTTCTTTTTTATCCCTTATTTTCCCTTGGGCATTGGTCGGTTCAATTACAAGCCAAAATACCTAAGGTTTTTCATAAAGGAGTATAACCATTTATATTATATATATATATATATATATATATATATATATATATATATATATATATATATATATAAAATTGCATATTGTGAGCTTTTAATAAAATAGTGTTCGATGTAATATAACAGAGTTATTAAGTATATTTTGAAATATAATATTATCCCTTACCGGTAGCATGACTCAGAATTTCATTTTGAAACGCAATCTTCAGGTGCTGGATAGAGAAAAACCGTTATATAATTTAATTTTGAATAAATATATCAACATATTATATGAGATTTCTTCTTTATTTGACAAATATATATTATGGTTTAAAATAGACTTTTTTATATATATATATATATTTATAAATATATATTGCATATATATATATATATATATATATATATATATATATATATATATATATATATATATATAATATATAAATTCAAAAATTTTAACCTTGAACTGAACGAATTTTTGTGGCCGAGCGGTCAAGGCACGTCAATGTAAAAGATACGGTTCTGTATAAGATGCAGTTTTCGAATACTGTCAAAAAACGAATATTTTTTCATTTCTAAGTTTCTCGGACATTCAGGCCGGTTCATATTGTTTAATACTGTTTATTATAAACAGATAAATTTATTTAAATACTTGTATCTATAAAAAGAACGTTAAACATAAAAACGCCTTTAATAAATATATATATATATATAAATTGAACTTATATTTAATTTTATATTTAAACCAAGCAGGAATTAATTGTATTTATTTAAAAAAATAATTAAAAATATATATATATTAAGATAGACGGACATAAACTATCAGAAAAAATTGGGATTACTATTTTATATTTATATATTTTTTTTAAATAATTTTTTTTTTATATATGAAAATACGCGGAGCTCGTATAATATTTCGACTGCGCAGCATTGCGTTAACCAGATATTTCTATTAAAATTTAAATTATATAACACTCAGCAATCTATGGTAACGTAGAAAAACCCTTTTATATATATAAATGTATGTGTATATATATAATATATATATATATATA